GTAGCGTAATTTTTCAGCTGGAAGCAGAACGCTTGGTCTTTTCAAGATCCTTTAAGATAGGAATCTATATTTGCATCCTCTATCTAGTTTTTGTTTTTTAAGACAAAGTCTGGCCTTTTCACCCAGGTTGGAGTGCAGCGGCACGATCTTCGCGCACTGTAGCCTCGACCTCCTGGGCTCAAGCTATTCTCGTGCCTCAGTCTCGAGTAGCTGGAACTATATGCACGCGCCACTACTCCTGGCTAATTACCAAGAAAATAAAAAAATAAGAGACTAGGGGTCTCCCTATGTTGTTCGGGCTGATCTCGAACTCCTGGGGTCAAGCGATTCTCTCTCCAGGGCTTCGCAAAGTGCCAGGATTACAGGCGAAAGCCGCCACGCCCAGCGGCACCCCTATCTAGTGATAAGCAACCTTCAACTTTGGAAGAAGCATCTGGCTTGCGGATACTGTCGGTTATCCTTGGAATTTATCCAGTTTAGGAAAACAAGTGAGCAGCTAACCCTCCACTGCCGGCTCACGACACCGGGAGAAAGTGGGTAAAAGATAGTCGCGGCCACACATCGCTTGCGGGCTGCGCGAAGCAGAACTAGGAAGCTTTGCTCGGGTCTGGACTTCGTCCCTCCCAGATCTCTGAGCGAGCAAGCACTGCAGCCCGAGCCAATTGCGAAAGACCAACAAAGCCCAGCCCAGCGGAAGGAACGGTTTCGGAGTTGTTTTTCTTTGATAGGGGAGCTCTTCCTTGCTCTCGCCCCTACTCTTTCTGGTGTTAGATCGAGCAACCCTCTAAAAGCAGTTTAGAGTGGTTGGAAAAGACACACCAAACGCTCCCAGCAACAAAAAGGATGAAATTCCTTCTGGACCTCCTCCTGCTTCTCCCCTTACTCATCGTCTGCTGCCTAGAGTCCTTCGTGAAGCTTTTTATTCCTAAGAGGAGAAAATCAGTCGCCGGCGAAATCGTGCTAATTACAGGAGCTGGGCATGGAATTGGGAGACTGACTGCCTATGAATTTGCTAAACTTAAAAGCAAGCTGGTTCTCTGGGATATAAATAAGGTAACAGTGCTTACTATGTTTTATTTTCTGGTTCCTTTAATCTGTGGACATGTCTGCATTTTGCTGGCAACCACTCTTTACCGCATCTCTGTAAAGCAGGGAGGAAAAAAAATTAGTATTGCCATTTTGCAGATGGGAGGGCATGAATTAATATGTTGTATGATCACATGATAAACAAACCTAGAGGTTATAAGAGTCCCAGTTACTGCCCCGTTGTAAATTGATTCCCATTTTTGCCCTAAGGATAACTCATAATTTTCTCCTGAACCTGATTTCATTGATCCCTCTATTTTAAACATAGGGAAAAAGTAATCGTTTTAGCTATATATTAAAAGAGTAAGAAGCTTGTACCTATTAAGAGAAAGTCCTAACCTACTTGCTGTTAATGAGATAAGTGGTTTAAAAGATTATACTCAACGGAAAACAATGCTACATTGCCATAGTTATTGCCAAGAGTAATTTTCCGGGAGGCTGAGGTGGGAGGTTGCTTGAGCCTGGGAGGTGGAGGCTGCAGTGTAAACACCCCACTGCACTCCAGCCTGGGTGACAGAGTGAGACCCTGTCTCAAGTTTTTTTGAAAAGCATTTTTTATTGGCTCACGCCTCTAATCCCAGCACTTTGGGAAGCCCGAAGAGGACGCATCACGAGATCAGGAGATCAAGACCATCCTGGCTAACACAGTGAAACCCAGTCTCTATTAAAAATACAAAAAATTAGCCTGGCGTGGTGACAGGCGGCTGTAGTCCCAGCTACTTGGGAGGCTGAGGCGGGAGAATGGCGTGATCCTGGGAAGCAGAGCTTCCACTGAGCCGAGACTGGGCCACTGCACTCCAGCCTGGGGGACAGAGCGAGACTCCGTCTCAAAAAAAAAAAAAAAAAAAAGCATTTTTTTTTTTTTTCCACGTTTGACCTGTGATACTGTAGGAGTGGTGGGAAAGCATCTTTTAGTAAAAACAATAAATAGAAAAAAAACTTTCAGTGTAATTTTTTATCCAGGACAAGTTTAGGTGTAGCTTAGGGAAGAGGACCTAGACTCTAACCTTTTATTTGACCTTTGGTAGATGAACCAAAGGGGTTTCTATAAGATACCTGATGGCCTGAAACATTATCCATTACACACTAGTTGACATGCAATGCTGTAAATAATAATTCAAAGGATGTGAAGTTAAATGAGAGTTAACCCAGTGAGTGGCTGATTAAGACAGCAATCAACAAATACTGTCCACTGCTTAGACATTAGGGACAGAGTGACAAACAGAAAATAAGGTTCCATGACCTCAGTCTAGTAGGGAAAATGGACATTAAGTAACTACAAGTGCAGGCTGGATGGGGTGGCTCACACTTTTAATACCAGCACTTTTGGAGGCCGAGGCGGGCAGATCACCTGAGGTCATGAGTTCGAGACCAGCCTGGCTGACATGGTGAAACCCCATTTCTACTAAAAATACAAAAAGTTAGTTGAGCATGGTGGCATGCGCTTGTAATCCCAGCTACTCAGGAGGCTGAGGCAGGAGAATTGCTTGAATTTGGGAGGCGGAGGTTGCGGTGAGCCAAGATTGCACCATTGTGCTCCAGCTTGGGCAACAAGAGCGAAACTGTGTCTCAAAAATAAATAAATAAATAAAATAAAATAAAATAAATAAATAAAAAATAAGTAATTACAAGTGCAATGAAAAATACAACCTAGGCCCAGCCTGGACCAGCATGGTCAAGATCTGGCATGGTGATATAGTCAGACACATCTGAGTTCTTATTTTTTAATTGGGTAACTTACTCAACTTTTCCACAGCTTTAGTTCCTTTTCTCCAAAATGGATAAAATAACAATACCTACCTCAAAAGGCTGGGAGTGTGATAAGAGATAATGCACACAAAGCATTTAGCACAGTAGCTGGTATAAGGTAAACACTGGAGTGTTAGTTCTTACTATTCCTACTATTCCTTGACAAAGTAGTGGTTTAAGCTAAAATTTAAATATATGTAATAGTTAGTTAGGTTAATGACTTCCAATGTCCAGTGCTAGTTTGTACAAAATTTTCTGTGATCTTCAGTGACATGTATTTATCCAACAAATGTTTATTGAGCATCTATTATCTGTTAGGCACTGTTCTAATGCAGAACTGAGGATATAGCACTGAGGAAGGCTTGAGCCTCATGAGCTAGGGGCAGTATGCCACATTGTATAATAAAATGTTTAATTGTTAGATGGTGTTAAGCATAAAGAAAAAAATAAAAGGTGAAAGCAGATTAAAGACTGTATATGGTGGGGAGGGTAGGAGGGGAGTGTTGACTTTACAGAGGTGGCCAGAAAGGCCCCACTGAAATGGAGATAATTGAGTCAACATCAGAAGAAGCTGAGAGCACAGTGAGTCCTGCAGGGAAGGATCAGCAAATACAAAGCCTGGCATAGACTGAGGGAAGGGAGAGAAGCACAAGAAAGGTCTAGATCTACTCTGTGCAACACATGGTAAGTAGTAACCCCTAACCTCTTGTGGCTCTTGAGCCTTTGAAAATGTGGCCAGTCTGAATTGGGATGGACTGTGGGTGGAAATACACACTGGATTTTGCAGACTTAGTATGAAGAAAAGAATGTAGAATTTTGTGTTAAGAATTTTTATATTGATTACATGTTGAAATGATAATTACTTAGATATATTGGATTAAATAAAATATACCACTAGATTTTTTTTTTTTTTTTGATGTGACTACTGGAAAGATTGAAATTATGTACGTGGCTTGCATTATATTTCTATGAGACAGTACTGGTCTAGAGATTTAGGGGGCTGGAGTTGCAGATGATAAAATTTCCTGTACTTTGGTTTTTTACTCTGGGGAGTCAATGAAGGGTTTTCAGGGTAATTCCTATTGAAGAGGATCCTCTGGCTGCTGGGCTTAGAAGAGATGTAAGAGGAGAAAAGATGGAAGGAGCAAGTAAAGTAAGAGACTACTGTGATAATCCAGGCATGAGATGACATTATGGGGACTGTTGGACCAGGTTGGGAGCAGCAGAAATTGGGAGTAATAGTCAGAAAAATTGAGGACAATGTAGTGAGTTTTTATGAAGTTAAATTAGTTTAATTTAAATAATCTATCTTTTATTTTGAGATTATATCCTTCCTACTTTTTTGTGGGTAAAATATGTATTTGTTAATGAAATTACAATGATAACATATGAGGGTCATTTTGTTAGTTTTGAGGGTCCTTATTTGGCCAAAAGTTTGGCAATCTTAGTTCAGTATACACACCTTACTCTATTTTTCTTGCCATTTTATAGATTTGTAATTATAGAAATCTAAGAACCACTAAACCTGATTGGGGAAGGACAGGGTGGGAGTTTGGAGCAGTCCAGGTAGCAGAAACTGGAGATGTGAAACTCTTGGGCTGGTGAATACCTGGAGAATGAGGAAGAAAGTGGAGTGGTGTTTGATTGTTATGAGATCTAGCTGGAAGAGCAGGGAGGGGTCAAACGGAGGGCCCTTTCACCTAGAGTACAAAGACAATCCCTTAGATTAGTCCATGTAATGAGGATAGCAATGTCCACATGTACCAAATGTTAATTTAGGGAAGAATTAATGGTGGTGTCAGCTTTGTTGTTCCACTGAGACTGATACTGGGAATTATTCATTCTGCTTTATGATAATCTATCACTTCTTGACTATTCTCATTCCCATGCCTGGTTAGAATAGTTTGTAGCCAGGCATGGTGGCATGCTCCGGTAGCCCCAGCTACTCAGGAGGCTGAAGCAGCAGGATTGCTTGAGGCCAGGAGTTCTGGACTGTGGTGCGCTCTGCATGTCCGCATAAGTTCACAATCAATATGGTAACCTCCTGGCAGTGGGCATGAAGGAGATCAAGTTGTCTAAGGAGGGGTGAACCCGCCTAGGTTGGAAAAGGAACAGATCAGAGCTCCGGTGCTGTTCAGTAGTGGGATAAGGCCTGTGAATAGCCACTGCACTCAACCTGGGCAACAGAGAGACCCTTTCTCCTAAAATACTAGTTTGGAAAGAAAAATTTACAGTAAGTAGTATGCATATAGTGTATGCTCAAAGACTATTTATTGAATGAAAAACTGAATTAATGAATAACTGAAAAATTAATGGGAGGAATTTAAAAATTTTTAGTAATCAAGAAAATGGGTGTAAAGGTCTTAGTTGTAGCAATAGACAAACATATTTGAAAAACCAAGGGAAATCTTGAAGAGTTATGAGCAATTGTACTGTGCTGCAAAACATTTTAAAGGAAGAATTCATTTTTTCCTGAAGATCTGCTTATTTTTTATTTCTTACTAACTATCTACAGGGCATTTTCCAGAATTTTTTCTGGAGGAATTCAGAACTTAAATTTGTTGCACTGGCAAAGCACGGTGGCTCACACTTGTAATCCCAGCACTTTGGGATGTCGAGATGGGTGGATCACTTGAGGCCAGGAGTTCAAGACCAGCCTGGGCAACATGGTAAAACCCCATTTCTCCTAAGAATATAAAAATTAGACAAGTATGGTGGCGCATGCCTGTAATCCCAGCTACTAGGGAGGCTGAGGCAGGAGAATCACTTGAACCGGGGAGGCAGAGGCTGCAGTGAGCTGAGATCGCATGACTGCACTCCAGGCTGGGTAACAGAGCGAGACTCCATCTCAGAAAAAAAAAAAAAAAAAAAAAAGTTGCACAATTCAGAAGGTGTGGAAAGCAGACCAACCTAAATGAGGAAGACCAAGTAAACAGGGCAAAAGTGAGACAGCAGATGTGAAAGAAGGGTATCTTTGCCTCCACATAGTAGAGTGGTGGTTAGTCACTTGGTGGTTACAGAAAGCCAATCAGTAATAAGCAAATCTCCGAAAACAGAATAAATGGGAAATAAATTTTTATTTTAAAATTTGTTCATGTAGGGAAATATATTTGTTCAAAAAAGAGAAGACCCAATCAATACAATATACTTTTTTTTTTTTTTTTTTGAGATGGAGTCTTGCACTATTGCCCAGGCTGGAGGACAGTGGTAAAATCTCG